AAGAAGATGTGGTTTATCTATACAATGGAATACTACATGACAATGAGAAAGAATGAAATCTGGCCATTTGCAGCAACGTGGATGGAACTCGAGGGTATTATGCTTAAGTGAAATAGTCAGAGAAGGACAAATATCACATGTTTTCACTCATGTGGAACTTGAGAAACTTAACAAAAGTCCATGGGGGAAAAGAAGGGGGAAAATAGCTACAAACAGGGAGGCAAACCACAAGAGACTCTCAAATACAGAGAGCAAACTGAGGGTGGATGGGGGGGAGGGGAAAATGGGTGATGGGCATGGAGGAGGGCACTTGTTGGGATGAGCACAGGGTGTTGTATGGAAGCCAATTTGACAATAAATTATATTAAAAATAAATAAATAAGTCCTGGGGATATAGTGTAAAACACACATAAAAAACAAAAAAGCAAAAAACCTCACCCTACAAGTTTACAGTAAGGATCGCATGAGCTCAAGGCCTTTGGGCAAGTGCAAAGCCATCAGTGGTGTTCTCCTATCAGCCAGAAGATGCCATGAGGGCAACTTTAAGCTGGTGCACAGGAGAACGTGCAGATACTCAATGAGAAAAGAGAGCTCCAGGAGACTGGGCTGTTTAAAGAATTTTTGGGGCACCTGGGTGGCTCAGTAGGTTGGGTGTCCAACTTCGGCTCAGGTCATGATCTCACGGTTCGTGAGTTCGAACCCCGCATCGGGCTCTGTGCTGACAGCTCAGAGCCTGGAGCCTGCTTCACATTCTGTGTCTCCCTCTCTCTCTGCCCTTCCCCTGCTCACACTGTATCTCCCTCCCTCTCTCTCTCTCTCTCTCTCTCTCTCTCCCTCCCTCTCTCTCTCTCTCTCAGAAATAAATAAAACATTAAAAATTAAAAAAAAAAGAAAGTGAGAGAAAGTGCTTTAAAAAAATAAAGAATTTTCAAAAACATTCATGAGAAGACCTCTTGGTTCGAGAGACATTAAGTTATTCTCGGTCTCTGTGTCTCTCTCCCCAGGACTGACCAGGAGAAAACAGATGTGGTCTTTGTTCCACACATGTGCTTTCCTTTTGCGCTAATTCTGAATCGTCCCTCTCTCTCAGATGCAATGTGTTCTCCCTCTCCTGCTCCGAATAGCTTTGATCCAGCTCACAAGACATCTTTTCCGGAAAGTGTTTGATGGATCGCACCCCAAGCTGATCCCTGCCCAGCCATCCATCAAATATTACCACGTCCTTTTTAGGCGTCTGGCCCAGTGCGAGGACCTGGTGACACAAAGATGAATGAGGCATAGTTTTCATCCTCTAGCTGCTCACAGGCTGCTGATGAGATAGCTGCATAAACAGGAAGTAGCACTATCATTGTGTGCTGTGAAAGAAAAACGTAGTTTTTTCAAGACGCCCAATGATCCTTTACCCTACGCATACCTTCTACGGGTGTGAAATCCGAAATGAATAAGATGCCTCTTCTCTTTTTAAGGGGCGTCTCGTGCAGGTGTCAGACAAGTCAGCAGTCGCAATCCAGGACCACAGAAGCAAGCGTGAGGTTCACATGGGAGCCCAGATTGAAGCGTTCAGGGAAAGTTTCCCATAGAATTTATCTCAAACAAGAAAAAGCAGGGGTGGATGCCAGGGAGACAAAGCCGCATGTACAAAGGCAGACTGGCTTGGGGGAGGTGGCATTTTGGAGGAGCCCAAAGCCACTCAGCATGCCTGGTATGAAGAGAAGGGGGGAGGGGGGAGCCAAGTAGCCAAGTCTGGAGGCCAGACCACAGGCATTGGGGAACCGTTGATCATCTCAACCTGCGAGGTGGTTTGGTTGCATTTTAGAAAGATCACTGTAGCAGAGGGCAGTAGGTCAGCACATATACGGGCAGTCTGGGGGCAGGACGGTGAGACAAGAGACTGTTTAAAATTCTCTTCAAATGGGAAATTATGAAGGATTGAATTTAGGTAATACTACTAAAGAGAGTAGAGAGAAGGGGGTGAACTGGGAGGCAGAAAGGAAGCATGTTATGGGCTGAATTGTGTCCTCCCCTGAAACAATTCATGTGTGAAGTCCCTGGGACCTCAGAATGTGACCATGTTTAGAGAGATCTTTTTTTTTTTTTTTTTTTTTTTTTTTTTTAGAGAGTGTGATCCCACATGTGCAAACAGGGAGGGGCAGAGAGGGAGAGAAGGAGAGAATCTTAAGAAGCTCGATAGGGTTCGATCATTGGAACCATGAGATCATGACTTGAGCCAAAATCAAGAGTCAGACACTCAACCGACCGAGGCACCCAGGCGTCCCGAGAAGGTCTTTAAAGATATGATTGAGTTAAAGGCCATTAGGATGATCTCTAATCCTATATGATTGTTGTGCTTATAAGACTGGGATGGAGACACACAGAAGCCAGACCACGCGAAGACACCGGGAGAAGCCAGCCATCTACAGACCAAGGCGAGAAGCCTCAGAAGAAACCAATCCTGCTGATAGAGCATCGTGGACTTCCAACGTCCAGGATAAGGTGAAAATAAATCCTTGTTGTTTAAGCCACCTTGTTGTAGTACTTTGCTACGGCATCCTGAGCAAACACCAAAAGGAAGAATCAGGAGATCTGGGGGCAACATGGATGGAGGGGCTGAAGGAAGAGAGTAGAGGGTGACTTCCAGGTTTCTTAATTGGCCCTCTGGCATGTGGCGCCGCCACTTTCCAAGAGGTAGAACTCAGGAGCCGTGGGGGTGGAGAGAGGAGATGGTGCGTTCCATCTTGGACATGTTCACAGTCGCTGTGAACAGAGAGCCCCATCGCTCATGGGAGAAGTGAAGAAGGATGGCCTGGGCGCGGGACAGAGCAAGAGGCGTTTCTCAGGGAAGAAAATGTCTAGAGAGGCTTTTAAACCCACGATCAATGTCTCAAAGCCTCCGTGTCTCTCTCTCTCTCTCCCTCTCTCTCTCACGCACGCGCACATACACACAAGCTTAGGTCGTTCTACCATTTTGCAATCTTGGTCTGTCGCTCGGCAATGATTTTTCCATTGTTTTATGTGCGTCGCTCTTCGGCTTTAGAGTCAGAACAAGAGCAATGTCTGTCTACTTCTCCGAAGGCCGCAGAGCGCTCTTAGCTCTGGGTCCCCCCTGCCCTCCTGGCGGGTGCCCTGCCCTCACCCCCCCAGCCAAGCCCCCAACGGAAGCTGCCCATTGGTCGCTCGCTGTCTCCCTCCGCGGGTCGGCCTGGGTTTTCCTCCAAGGCCTTCGTCGCGCCTCCGGTAGCGATCACCTGAGCGAAGGACACAGGCTCAGTGGCCCTGCTCCAGCGTGTTTGAGGTGAGAGCGCTCTTTTTTACACTTTTTGAGGAGTTGGGCAGAGACCCTGTAGGTCTGGAAACCAGCGCCCCCACTTAGCCCCGCCTCCCAGGCCCGGAAGGAACCCAGTCAGCAGCGACGCGTCCTTGGTTTAGGTAGTCTGGGGGCGGGCAGGCGTGGACCCCCTCTCACGGACTCCCCACTCCAGTCCAGCGACAGGTGCCTTCCAGAAAGGCACTTTGCCCAGAGGTGCGTGACTTATTAAGAACCCGGGACATGGGGGGACCTGGCTGGCTCAGTCCGAAGAGCACGCGTCTCCTCGTCTCCGGGTGGTGAGTTCAAACCCCACGTTGGGTGTAGAGATTACTAAAAATAAATAAACTTAAAAAAGAAAAGGAAAAGAACCCAGGACTTGGCTCTGGATGACTTTGAAGCTCTCTCCACTGTTGAGTGACGCCCGCCGTTGTCTTTCCCCCGCCCCCGGTCTCCCTCCCTTTCGGGGCTTACTCCCGCACACCACCAAGGCTGGAATCCGCTGCTGAAATCCCGGGGCGCTTTACCCTGGAATACGCGCCGCCGTGGGCCAGGCAGTAGCCGGCGAACCAGTTTGCCAGTCAGTGGATGTTTACTCTTCAGGGCGCTCCTCCGGGGCGTGGCCCGCACAATAGGAAGAGAGCAAGGGAAAGAGCTTTGTGCCTTAAGAACTCGCCGTCTCCTTGGAAATCTGAGTGCTGGATACAATGTCAAGGATCGGATTTTCTTTCTTTCTTCTTTTTTTTTTTTTTTTAAATGTTTTATTTATTTCTGAGAAAGAGAGACAGACAGAGCATGAGCAGGGGAGAGGCAGAGAGAGAGGGAGACACAGAATCAGAAGCAGGCTCCAGGCTCTGAACTGTCAGCACAGAGCCCGACGCGGGGCTGGAACCCACGAACCGCGAGATCATGACCTGAGCCGAAGTCGGACGCTTAACCGACTGAGCCACCCTGGGCCCCCCACCCCCGGCGCCCCAGGGATCGGATTTTTGACCCAGTAGCCAATAGCTTCGCTGCAATGCCAGTCAGTGTCTTCTGGGAGTCTGGAGACCATTGGGAGGTGGACCGGCCGGCCCTTGAACCTGAAGAGGTCTGCCCGCCCAGCTGGGCCGTCCTCCGGGGATCAGGGGAGCTCAGTCCTCAGCAACAAGCCGGGTGCCCTTGTCCTCCCTGCTCACGGCCTTGCTGGGGTCACCCCCTCCCCCCCCCGCATGACTCTCCGTCCAGAGACCCCAGCAGTGGTGGCCAGCCTCTGCCGGAGCATCGGCTGCCCCCAGGGATAAAGACTCCAGCCTCCCAGCTTCCTTGGCCGAGCCCGCTGCTTGGGGCTGTTCAGAGCCCTTTCTCATTTGGAGGTTAAATCTCCCTCTGCCCCCCCACCCCCCCTTCCTGCATCAGGAGGAACAGACCTGTGCTGAGCACAAGCCCTGCAGCAGGGGGCCTGGGAAGCTTTGCCCTGTCACGCTCTCTCCCCCCAGGTCAAGGCTGGGAGAGGCGCCCTGTGTGCCTGGCCTCCCTGGTTGGCGGTTGGCGGGAAGCAGGCAGCCTCAGTGCCTGCGGGGCCTCCTGCCCAGCGGCCGGTTTCCTCATACCTGAGCCGTCCAGGGCCGCACGCACCCCTCCCGGCCCAGCTCGCTATTTAAGGCCAGCGCGCTGGCGCTGGCTGTGAGTCACGGCCAGGGAGGACAGCGGCAGCTCCAGGCACCCCAGCACCCAGCACCCAGCGCGCCGCGGGAAGGGGTGCATGCCCTCGCCATGGCTTCCCCGGGGCAGGTCATCTTCTGGAGGTAGTGTGCCCTTCTCTCCCTCCCGGTGAAGGGACCGGGGCTGAGGTGTTCGGGGAGTGCTGAGGACAAGTGGGCTGTCCCCTAGGACTCCACCCAGACCCTTATCTGATCCAGCGCACGGCTGGCAAGAGGCCTTGCCCAGGCCAGAGCCTCACTGGGCTTGCCTTCAAATCACCCCCCAGCCACTCAGGGCATCTCTTTTTGGGGTGAGTCTGGCTTTCTGCCCTGGAGGGCTGGCCCCTGTCCGGAACGCTCTGGGTCAAAGCTTGTGTGCGTCAGGCTGAGAGCCCCACGGAGACATCAAGGCTCTGGGGCTCCCTGAAGATGGATGGGATGCAGGGGATGGGGGGTGGGGGGCGGGGGGGGGGCGTGCGCTATATGCACTATAAAGTCCCCAGGATGAAGCAGGCGAGTTCTCTGAGCCTTCTTTGTGGGCTCTGACCCTTCCCAGTACTGCTGAGTAAATCATACCAACACCCTCCTCCACCCCCAGCTCCAGGATGGGGTCCCTAGCTGTCCTGGGGGCTCCCTGGAGACGAGACCCCAGTGCTGCTGCTGAGAAAGCAGGCCTTTGCTAAGGCCTGGATCTGGTCTGCCCATCCCAGGGGATGGGGCAGAGTAGGGAACGATAGAGAAAGAAAGAGAGAGCAGCGGAGGGGCACCTGGGTGGCTCAGTCAGTTAAGCCTCCGACTTGAGCTCAGGTCATGAAGTCAGTTAAGTGTCCAACTCCAGTTCAGGTCATGATCTCATGGCTCATGAGTTCGAGTCCCGAGTCGGGCTTTCTGCTGACAGCTCAGAGCCCGGAGCCTGCTTCGGATTCTGTGGCTCCCTCTCTCTCTGACCCTCCTGCACTCATACTCTGTCTCTGTCGTCTTACTCTCCCACTCAAAAATAAACATTAAAAAAAATTTTTTAAATGAAAGAAAGAGCAAGGGAGGCACTAGAGGAACGTATAAAATGCAGCAGGCACGTAGAGCAGACAGGAAGGAGGGCCCCGGGCTGAGAGGAGGAGCAGGGTTCACAAAGAAAGAAGAAAGTCCACTCCTTGCATTTTGCTCCTCTCACTTAGCTACCTCTAGGTGCCTCTTTTTCCCTCAGGACGTCACTTCCCTTTCTGGAAAGAGAGAGATGGAAAGTGAAGGAAGCTTTTTCCTGAAAGGGCTGGTGGTTCAATGTCCCTCACAACTCAGGGTGGTGTTTGGTACGTGAGGGCTCTAGGGGCTGATGGAGAGGCCGGTCCTCTAATTTCTAGGTGTCTTTTCTAGAGAAAGGAAAAGGAGGGAAGGGGGGAGGAAAGGAAAGCTCCGATTAACAAGGATGTTTATGAAGAGGCTGCGAGAACGTTACTTCCCAGCGGCAGCCTAGAAAATTCTTTCCTTTAGGGGCGCTTGGGTGGCTCAGTCGGTGGCGCAGTTGAGCGTCTGACTTTGGCTCAGGTCTTGATCTCACGGTTCGTGGGTTCGAACCCCAAGTGGGGCTCTGTGCTGACAGCTTGAGCCTGGAGCCTGCTTCACATTCTGTCTCCCACTCTCTCTGCCCTTCCCTTGCTTGTGCTGTCTCTCTCAAAATGAAACAAGCATTTAAAAAATTTTTTTTAAGAAAATTCTTCCCTTTTAAGAAAAATGACAGCTCCTTCACTTGGGTCCCTTTGGAATAGCCAGTCCTGCAGGGGGGCGTTGAGGGCGAGCTGTGTGTGGTCAGCAAGGCTGACACCTCCCTGTGCCCCCCAAGGACACCCTGCTCCCAGGGGAAGGAGCAGGTAGTGGAGAGCTTCCCTTCAGGCTTTCTGTCCTACAGGAATGTCCCAGGAAGCACCCACGTCAGAAGAGCTGGTGTTTTGCCAGCACCTTCTATCCCCACGCCCCAGGCTAGGAGCCTTACAGAATCTCCTTTAATCCTCAGCAGAGCCTGTGAGAGTTCATTATCACCTCAGAGAAGTTAAGCCTGGCGGTCAAGGCCACACGGCCTGCAGGGGGTGGGGCGGCATTTAAATCCTCTCTCCCTAACTCTGAAACCCCAGCCGTCCCCTCTGGGCCACGATGGCTCCCCTCCCTGCCTTGCCTGCCCCAGCTCTCCCCCGCCCCCGCCCCCATCCCTCCATTCTGGTTCGTAGATGCGAAAAGCTCCGCTTGCAACAAGTAGGTCTGTTGTTCCAAGGATGGATGTGTGGGCTTTCTAATAATGCATTACAACCAGCCTGACTGGTTTTGCTGGCGGATTAGCAGGAGGTGGGTGTTCAGAACGCGCATTCCCCCACCCTTTAGAGACCCAATGGGATCAACAGAGGCTCCTCTTGCCTGCCCCAGCATGCCTCATTAGCTATTCATACTCTGCAGTTGCAAAGGCCACAAGTCACAAGGGCAGATCTTTTGTGCAAAGAGGCCACCAGGAAGAGGGTCGGTGGGCAGGCTCAGGGGGAAGCAGGATCTGGAGAATTCATCCCAGGGAAGCCTGGGAGCCCACCTGGGGGAAGCCAGTATCCACGCGTGGCCCCAACAAACCCTCTCTCTTTGCCGTAATTTTCTTCATTCATACTAATTCCTTTCATTGCAGTGATCATGACCGGGGTTGATGTGGGGGAGCCTAAGAGAGGGCCTGCTGCCCTCCACAGACCCAGTGGATTTGTCTCTTAAGTAATTACCAGAGAGCTTAATACCTTCAAATCTCGTGCTCAGAAATGCATGCCACTCAGGGATGGAATGCCAACGGCAGTTTCTGCTGAGCCTGACCTCCTTGGTATATTTAAGTGCTGTGTGATCAGAATTTTCCTCCCCTCTTCCCATTGTAGCTGTAAGTGGGAACAGCATTTGCCCACGGAACATTTGTGCAGTACCCACTAGGAGTTCAAGGATAGAAAGGTCATGACCCCTGCTCAAAGGGGTTATGTTATGGTCAACAACGTTAATGCAATACCGTCTATGTGCATCGGACTAAGCACTGGGGCAAAGGCGGCTAAAGCACTGATGAGATTATAGCCTAATGGAGAAGGAAGATTCTGAAACAGATAATTCCAGTATGCTGTTGTTAAGTTATGAGATAATAAGGCAGAATGCAAGAGCAGCATTTCCCTAACCTGAGGCTTTGGGGAAGGTTTCCTGAGCCAGGTGATGGCCGGGCCAAGTCTTGAAGGATGAGTTAGTGAGATCCAGGTGAAGAAGGGGAGGATGGACATTCTGTGCAGAGGAAAGAATAGAATAGAATAGAATAGAATAGAATAGAATAGAATAGACTAGACTAGACTAGACTAGAACACAACACAACACAACGCATGAACCAGCTACTCTCCTCTCATCATTAGAGTGTGAAGCATGAGGCAGGGGTGCTGGGATGAAGTGGGAGAGGCAGAAACAGGTCATGATGGACCTTATCTGTCAGGCTCAAAGTTTGTTGTTGGGACGAGGAGCCAATGAAGGCTCTCAAGCAGGGGAATCACAGTGGTTTTCATCTTGCGCGGGTTAGTCCAGAGGTAGCGTGGAGGATGGATATGAGGCCAGTGGGCCCGGAGGCCAGGAGAAACCACTGCTGTCAGCAGAATAAGGAGTAGTGAAGACCTGAAGTGGAATGATGGCTGGGATCTAGAGGGGAAAATCCATTCCAGAAACAGTTAGAACTTAAAATCGGTTAATATATGAAAAATGAATAGAGGGGCAGATAGATGGAGCAGGAATAGATGAGGCGAAGGGCGGAGCCTGGAATGAGCCCCATGTTTCTGGATTGGACAGAGTGCGTTGGAGAAGAGCCAGGAGAGTTGAGAGTTGGTTCAGTCTGGTACGGGTTGAATTTGAGGGTCCCCTGGGACTTCCCGTTGGAGATGTGCAGCAGGCAGCAGAAGGCAGGAGACGGGAGAAGTCAGGGCTGGAGACAGCAGTTAGAGAGCAGTTGAGGGGAGGGAATGGTTGCCTGGGTTTCATCTAAAGAGAACACACAGAAAGAGAGGGCAAGGAGCCAGCTGAAGAAATGAGCTAAAGAAAACTAACTTTTACAGGTGGGCAAAGGAAGATGGGTTAAAGAAAGAGCTGGGAGTAAATGGTGGAAGAAGCAGGAAGAGACCAGCGTAGATAAGTCTCAGGAATGTCACCAGAGCAAAGTTGCCTAGTGGTTCCTGGGCTGAAAGGGTGTCATTCAGGCTCAGTAAGGTCTGGGGCTGACTGAGAGATCCAGTCCAGATAAGAATATGGCCTACGCAGCATTTCAGCAGAACTCACATGGCTTTGCCCAGAACATGAAGAGGGCAGACTTCCAAGTAGACCCGGCACCAAGATGAGGCCAAGTAGGGCAGGGACCCTCTGAGTCTAGCCTGAAGAAGGTCTCATGGGCATGCTGACTGTGCACTGTCAGCAGAGAACATCAGAGCGCTGTAACATCTGGTAGCTCTCCTTCCAGAAAGCAGACACACAACTGTAGAAGTGAGGCCCAGTTGGCACAGATTTCAAATTGTTATTCCACTTCCCTGCCCTCCATCTTTCTGTCCCTCCCTTCTTTCTTTCCTTCCTTTCTTTACCCTAGATTCTTCATCTGTCTATTCTGACTCTTCTACATGAAGTGAGCTGTTTGGAGCCTTTAAGACCAGGGGAAATCACCAGCAACAATGACATTGATGAAGATATGTCCAAGGAGGGAAGGTACTTGGTGGAGAAGGAGCAGGAATCTTTTTACCAGAAGAAGGCACATCAAACAGAAAATAAGGGAAACTAGAACAAAAGCAGCTCACGGGGCTTTCAAGCTTGGTTTCCCACTGCCCCTGAGTGTTCAAGCTGGTGTCTGGCTCCAACCTGCCGGACCCTAGTGGCCAGAGAAAACAGTGCTTGGCACCACAATGACAGTTTGCCTGATGAGAAAATCATCACGGTCTGGCTTGGAGATGTGCCCAACTTTCAAACACTCTGAGTCTATAAAATCTAAGGCTTCAGGGCCTTCAGGACCCACCCCCGTGCACAGGACAGGAAGTTAGAAAATGAGATAAACTGCACATCGGAAGAAAGACTTAAACAGGTGGCAC